ATTGCATTTCGTTGCTTGTGAAAAGTATGCGTCGTTAATACTTCGATAATTGCTTTTTGAATCTGTTTAATCGACGCACCGTAATTTGATAAAAATCAATAGACAGTTTTTTCAGCTTCAACAGTGAAGTAATTATTGATGAGGAGGGTGTCACTATCGGACCGTGAATCTGGAAGGGTTCTCTCACGAGAAGCTGAGAAGTGTTGATAGCGAAATTATGTCATTAGGACATTCCCGGTTTTGAACGGCTGCTGCCGCCGCCGCCCCCGATCGATTGCCTCATTGTTCCTAGGCTCCGAGCGCGCGGCCCCAAATAGACGAAAACCCTCTTCAGCCCTCTGTTGATGATGTTGCTTGCTTTGCCCACCTTTTAACGTAAACGTAACATCCCCAAATTGGACGCGACGACAACCACCACCACCCCTCGTTGAAGTACACAAAAAAATGTATAATTCAGAATGGGAGGGAGTGGATGTTGTAAGATAAGCGAGGATCTGGAACGATTATTAAGTTTGAAACTAAGTTGGTTGAAGGTGGGCGCGAATGAGAATGGGTTCGTTCGCCCGCAAATGTGACGCGCTGTTTGCGCCCCAATTCCGTAACGAAATCTCTAATGCTGAGTACACACATAATAATGCAATATCAAAGGACAAATCTGCGGTGCGCGAGTTTACCGAAAGTCAAATATGTTTGCCCGAATACTTTGCCGCCGTTACAAATCGCTTTCACGAAACTCCACAGTATTAAATCCTACCTCTAACGCTTCCATTTTTTCACTGCGTTTGCAAAAGCTCAGCTTATACACTGTTCAAAACATTAGTCACTAGTAATTTTTAGATTTACGTAACTTCCATACAAGCCAACTTTTGCATACATTTCCACACTTTCAACTTAATTATATATAATGATTGTATAAAATAAAATGTATTTTTCATAAATATAACTGGAACGGACTGACCAATATCTCATACGTCCAATTCAAACCATTACATTATATTCTCTGCCCATAGACGTGTCACAAGCACGCTTATTATAGCCATTAATCCAGTCCAAGGCAGGGCTTTGTCCTCATTACCGCATCTAAAACTAGTTCTTGCAGTGCTAAAGCACCATCATTTACTCCAGTCTCTTCAAATCACTGCAATATTTATTATTTTTTTGATAAAAATTGTTCTTTTATTAAATTAATTACAACAATAACGAAAGTGAAGAGAATACTCGAATCGCATTTAATTGTTTTTTATTATCTACGCTCAAAAACCCATTTATTATTTGATACAAATAAACTAAAACGATTTACTGAATAATATAAAATTCGTTAATAATACAATGGGACTCGATTTTATTGTTGTTATTGCATAAACTTTTGTTACATTAAACCGAATGTAATAATTAAATTGTTGTTTGAATTCAATTTATTGTAGTTTTCATTCATAATAGTCAATAGCTTTACAATTATTAGAATCCTAGTGGGTCTACGTCAAGAAAAAAAAACAAAACGAAAATCACTTATTGACGTTTTGAGTTAACGATTCTGAAATTAACTTTTATCGAAAGTGAAGAGAATACTCGAATCGCATTTAATTGTTTATAATTATCTACGCTCAAAAACCCATTTATTATTTGATACAAATAAACTATAACGATTTACTGAATAATATAAAATTCGTTAATAATACAATGGGACTCGATTTTATTGTTGTTATTGCATAAACTTTTGTTACATTAAACCGAATGTAATAATTATATTGTTGTTTGAATTCAATTTATTGTAGTTTTCATTCATAATAGTCAATGGCTTTACAATTATTAGAATCCTAGTGGGTCTACGTCAAGAAAAAAAAACAAAACGAAAATCACTTATTGACGTTTTGAGTTAACGATTCTGAAATTAACTTTTATCGAAAGTGAAGAGAATACTCGAATCGCATTTAATTGTTTATAATTATCTACGCTCAAAAACCCATTTATTATTTGATACAAATAAACTATAACGATTTACTGAATAATATAAAATTCGTTAATAATACAATGGGACTCGATTTTATTGTTGTTATTGCATAAACTTTTGTTACATTAAACCGAATGTAATAATTATATTGTTGTTTGAATTCAATTTATTGTAGTTTTCATTCATAATAGTCAATGGCTTTACAATTATTAGAATCCTAGTGGGTCTACGTCAAGAAAAAAAAACAAAACGAAAATCACTTATTGACGTTTTGAGTTAACGATTCTGAAATTAACTTTTATCGAAAGTGAAGAGAATACTCGAATCGCATTTAATTGTTTATAATTATCTACGCTCAAAAACCCATTTATTATTTGATACAAATAAACTAAAACGATTTACTGAATAATATAAAATTCGTTAATAATACAATGGGACTCGATTTTATTGTTGTTATTGCATAAACTTTTGTTACATTAAACGGAATATAATAATTATATTGTTGTTTGAATTTATTGTAGTTTTCATTCATAATAGTCAATGTTATTCAAGGCTTTACAATTATTAGAATCCTAGTGGGTCTATGTCAAGAAAAAACAAAACGAAAATCCTTTATTGACGTTTTAAGTTCTTGAAAGCCTCGTTCGAAAGTGTACTCACACTGAATGGACTTATCGAGCAAAGTAAGCCGTTTTTTTTATAAGTTGGGGCACTTTCTTTGTTTTGACAGAAAAAAAGAAAGGTGATGCGTTGAAACAAATGCTTTTCGGATTTCAATTTTAAAGCAAAAAACAACTAATAAATGAGTCAAAAGCCGACTAGATTAATTTGCGATTCGGCGAAATATTGCATAATGCATGCTCTGCGTACGCGACAAATTGTGCGGTTAATTGGGTTAAGTGGGCTGTGAACAATACGGCCCGGCGCATCCGCCCATTAATCCGCCCAGGTCTCAATTATGCGACGAACAAAAGCGAAAACAAAAAAACAAGAAAATATCAGTAAATACGATGTTGATTGTCTCGGAAGATATTTGGAGATGATCAGGTTTTAATTGAGAGAAACAAAATGAAAGTTTTGCTTCTGTTGAGTCAATTATTTGGATATTATTAGCTTAGTTGGCTGAAAAAAAAAAGAACAATTTTATTTTAATATATTTAATTTGAATCCTTTTGTGATTTCTCAATATAATTTCCATTTATTTTAATACATTTCTAAAGTCGGTAGAGCCAGCTTTCAAAACATTCCTCAAAATCGCTGAAAGATTTCGGGCGACCATCACGAGATTCGTCTTCAACAGAAAAATTGGAATCTTCGAAACCACTTGGAAATGGTCATAAGGGATGATGCATTCACTCTATATAGATTTTGGAATTGCTGGAAAATTTGCATAGGCTTGAGTTGACGTCGAAATCCGAAGAGGATTACAAAACGAATTTCTTGCTGTGTTGGTGGTGGAATTTCTACCAACATTACATCACTAATTTTGCATTTTTTCCTATCCAATCTTACCTATCTTCTTGAAAATTGACATGAAATATCGTTAGACTTTAACAAATTGAGAAACACCTTTTTTTTTTTCAGAAACAAATGTATTAACGCCAACTAAGCGAAATTTTAATTCGTTACGTAAACATGAATTCCAAGGACTTTTTATAAAGAAGAAAATAAATTTCAATTGAAACATAATCAAATATTTACAGTTTATATATTTTGAAGCTTGATTATAGAGTAAATTTAATCATCATAAAGTGCTATTAAATTATACATTAAACTCAAAGTACTTAAATATTTAAAACTAATTATAAATTCCCTTTATCAATCAAATGTATATCGTGCAAATATTACTATCATTACATATTTAATATCAAAAACTTTGAGAAAATATTACAATTCTTACAATTTGTGACTGAGAAAGTAAGCTAACATTTTCATAGAAATTGAAAATAAGGGAAAACAATTACGTTTTTAGCATTCGCATCGCACCCCAAGCAATAAATCTTCATAAACGCGCCTACTGCGCTCGAAACAAATACAGCACTTTTTATTTAGTGGAATTAGTGTTCTTTCATCTGAAAATGTAACAACTGTTAACTAATATGTGTTTATTTACTGTTTTATGCCTAACATGACATTGACTGTTATCTTTTTTGATGTTAATACATCTGTGTTCAACACTTCCTTAAGATATTAATCAAGATTAATTGAATCTTTCTTATTTTATTATTAAATTAGATGAGTTTTATATAGAGAAGATTCATGCACATTTTAAACTATTCAAATTCTTTAACTCAATTTCCTCGCATATCTCAAACTCATTATACAAAAAGGGCACTTCCTTTTTCCAAATCGTTCTTTCATGATCGAAGTCCATTCAATTTGATATTCGATCATCATTTTTACATTAAGAAGTAATTAGAGCAGACAATACACAATATTACAACTACAATTTTTTGTTTGTTTTTTGATGAAGAAAAACAAAGAGCGAAAACGCTCATCGAGATCGATCGATGTTGACGTGACGGAATTTGATATCGCGAAAATTGCATTACGTACACATTGTAATAATAATCGATTGATTTCGGTGTGGGGGGGCCGCTGTCTGCGTCACAGCACAGTTAATGTATATATGAAATTCAATTTTGTCGCTGCGGCGAATCGAAATCGAAATTAATTTCGTTTCGGTCACCGAAATCCTGCAACAAATATTTTCCCAATTTACCTTTCCTTTTTTTTGGTTTATTGTTATTTGCACGCAATTAATAAAAATACATGATTTAATTACGTAATAATTGTGTGTGTGTGTGGGGAAGGGGATGTCAATAAATTATCGCAATTTATTTATTAGTTGTACGTTTTAGTTTAATTATTTACAACGCATCGAGGAAACTTGTTAATATACAAAAAAATATACTCGTAAATATAATATAATATATAAAATCTATAAATTTGTTTATAAATTTAGAAAATTAAACAATTACAACATCTTAATCGTTGAAGCAGAAATTGCACCTTGTTAAAAAACATAAAATAAAAATCAATCACAAACTTAAATTAAACTATTTTCAAAATTATAAGTGTAATCATATGTTATTGATTCTTGGTTTGCGATAAAACGATAATTCCATCTTAGTTATATACACAAATATATAAATCTCTATATTGCAAAACCAATCATTTCTTACATAATCTAATAAACAAAACATGTTTTCTTTTACTTAGACTAGTCTAATCGAGACGCAACTGGATTTACAATCAAGGTTTGCGTTCACAACGTATTTTCATTCACAGCGAATTATTCCTACAAGATAATTCGTAAAGTGTAAAACTATGTGTAATTAACGAAACAGATCTATACTAACAATTAGTGATTGGTTTATAATTAACTAACACTTCGGACTAGGGTAGAGTGCAACAAAGACTTATTTACATCACTTACAAAAAAAATATTACATATTACATTCAGCAAATGTGAAATTGCATCTTTTTTTTTCTTCTTTTCTTAGACGAGCGAAAGGCACGCCAAGTGAGAGCAGACGAGAGACAAGACTGAATTATTTACAGAGCGAACTCGTAAAGTTAAATTAAATTAAAATCACAGCACGAAACGTAATCCTATATAATCTTATTACTTATTGTTGTTCTATTTACACATTCTCATCGCGTATGCACATGCACACACATAAATATCTCCACCACTTATATAACATATAAAATCTCTCTCTCAATCTTCACTTTTGATTCAGAATTAAAGCTGCGTTTTTTTAGTCCTTTCCTCATCGGGGGCAGAACGTGAATCGGGGGAATAAATAGCAGTGCAACGATAGAAATCTGCAAAAGAGAAAAGATTAATAAAAAAAACTGTATAGAAGAAATTGCGAAAGGGCGCGCCTTTTCCTTATTGCATTTTATAATTGATACCGGTTTTTTTTTGTGTTCTTTGCTAAGGAAGAAGCGAAAATTGCAAAGTTCCCGAAACGGCGATACCTGCTGATAAGTTTTGTAAGTGGAAAACGCGATTGCGTTAAGACATCAAACAGCTCGTAAAGTTGTTTATGAACTTTCGCGCGATGCATAAACTTATATAACAAATATTTACAATGCTTTATGTTTAGTTTATACAATGCAGTCGTTTCTGATTTATAGGATAATTGAAAATTAGAATTTTCTTATTTGCACAGTTGATGATGCATCAAATGTTATTTGAGCCGAAAAGCACGTTTCGAAGGGCCAAAACCAACGGTTGAATAGGAATTAAGGTTGTTTGATCAGCATAGTGCAGGATTCAAAAGGGATGAACGTGCGGGTTTAGCAAATGTCAAAGGATAATAGATTCTAAAGAAGAACACTTAATATGATCAGGATCCAGCAAAACTATAAAAAGAACTATTGTTGTCGTACAGTAATGCTTACCGATTGGGATCATATTTGACATCGAATCCTTCGATTTTAACGACGTTCCACTCGTCCTTGTTCTTCGAGTAGCTGAACGAAATCTGCAATCAAAGCAAAGAAATTAGCGAATCTTTCGAGTCGGAATAATTGAAAAAAAAATCCGCGGGGCATCAAAGATGAAAACGGAGAGAAAAATTCTGTTTCCTGCGATCCTCGCCCACCCATTATCATGGAGCAGGACCAATAAGTTGCGCGGTTTTATGCGTTGCGAATTCCTCGTTCGGCCTCGTAAAACTTTCAACGGGGGGGCGCGCAATTTGCATACAAATAATTATGTTATTTAAGTAAAAGCGAAACGGCGCAGCTGAAAGGACTGAAATACGACCGCAATAACAGTAAGAAAAAATTAAAAAAAACGATACACGTTTAAGCGGTTCAGTTAATTTGATTGCGTATATATTTTAGTTGAATATTTCTGGTTTGTGCCAGGGATCATTTAGCCGTTCAATTTCGAGCGCAGCTTGAGCGAAACAATTATTACCTGATCCTCGAGGATCTCGCGTCTGATGAACTTCATCGGCTCCAGGTGAGAGTGGAATTGCTCCACGACAGTCAAAGGTTTCCTCAGGAGATGCTCTGCAAAAGCGAACGTATATTATAGCTCTAAACCAATCATCTAGAAGGCTTTCGCCAATGAACTCACCGATTATGTAACCCATGGTAACGTCATCGGGTAAACGGATTTTTTCTCCGGTGCTGATGAATTTACCGCCGCTGCAAGAAAAACAAATAATAATAACATTAAATAAAAACAAACATAGAAGTTTTATATTTTTTGATATGCGAAAAGAAAGAAAGGAAAAATAAAAACGGTTTTCCATAAACAAGGTAATTTGCATGCGGAGCTCTATTTGCGAAATGAAAAAGCGGAAAACGCTTTTATTGCCAAGCAACGCGATTGTAAATAATAATAAAAGAAAATGATATAAAAGTGCGCCATTAACCGACGTAATTGCCTTAAGCGTTTATTCAAATTACCTTCAAACATTCGAATTAAGTGAAATTAGCTACCTAATTCTATTAAACTTATCTATTGATTAAAAGCTTCATTTATAAAAGAAAATATTGGTGATTATTTCTGTATTTTTAAAGAAAAAACAACAAAAGTTACTTGTCTTTAGTGACAAGTATCCCTTGGAGGCTATCAATCATTCGAAGTTGTAATATTTATTACTTTTAACTGTTTCGACTGAAACATCTTGAATGACTTCTGAAAAGTGTTATGGACGTCCATTTGCATGTTAAGTTTCCTAAAGAGCAATTTCGTTTATCTTCCACGTAACTCTAATCCACTTTAGGTAATTGTTATGAAAATTACATTTATTAAAATGTTATTCATATATACAAACTTCAATAAACGAAAATCAAATAATTCGATTCGAAAATGTAAAAGGAAGTGAAGGTGTCTTGTGACCGTTAAATTTCATCCCAAAAACTTATTCACTCGTGTAACAAATTTGACGCGTGTCAAGAGGGACGGAAGAACCCTCCTCCACTCTTCATTCATCCTTCATTCGCTCGATCCATCCGTTTATTCTTCGGATTCAAAGGCCATCGCGGTGCTCGAACGCAATTACCATATGCATACACACTCACACATCTCTCCTACGTTTATTTATCTCTCTCTCTCCTTTTGTTATTCTTGTGGAAACGCCTCTGGGGAACAGAAATGTGGAATGGACTTCGAAGCACCGCAAGAGCAGGTAGCTCTCGAAGATTACCAAACCGCAATTTAAATATCACAATATAAATCAAAATTGCTTCTTCCTCGAGACCAGAAGTTTAATATACACAACGATGTAGGTCAGTGATTCCCAAAGTGGTCTATATCGACCCCCAGGGGTCTATGACAACCTGCAAGGGGTCTACGTCAGCGAAAAAAAATTTGGGGGTCCATGAAATGAAAATGGGGGTCCACAATGGGGACAATCAAAATCCCGACATTCGAAATCTCGACGTTCGAAATTTCGACTGTATCGAAATCCCGACAGTGTCTTTTATTATATATGACCGCCAAAACAGAACATTAATGAGTTATCTTCGCGGAATAGCTCGACTGTATCAAAATCCCGACAANCGAAATACCGCCAATCAAATTCCCGACGTTCGAAATCCCGACTGTATCCGAAATCCCGACATTCGAAATCCCGACTATATCAAAATCCCGACAACCATAATCCCGACTATATCGAAATCCCGACTATATGAAATTCCGACGTCTATCAAAATCCCGACTATATAATCGCGTACAAATCCCGACTGTATCGAAATCCCGACAGTGTCTTTTATTATATATGAGTATAGTGTTTCATTATAATTATTTTATTAATTTTTGTATTATAATAAAGATAATTTTAAAAATTCATCGCTCGAGTTTTTTTATTTCTAGAATATAACGGGGGGAGTTGAGATTATTAATTGTTGTTTTATTAACTATTAATAACAATATTATATATTTATTACTATTTTAACAAATATATATTTATTATTGTATTTGTTTTCATTGACTTAATAAAACTTAAAATTAAGAAATATTCTAAATTAAAATTAATTTATTGTTATTAATATTAAATAATAGTAGATGGTGACTGCTGTCGGGATTTCGATACAGTCGGGATTATGGTTGTTGATATTATGATATAGTCGGGATTTCGAATGTTGGAATTTCGAATGTCGGGATTTCTAACGTCGGGATTTTAATAGTAAAAGTATTTATCAAGTAAAAAAATTATTATATATGTTTATAAAATTGTGTAAGTTGTAGGATGTAGGCATTCACTTTGTGGTCGTAATACATTTTGAACTTGTAAAAACCTGCACATAATGTATATACCAGTATCATCTTGTTACAAGCATATGCGCAGTCTCAGAGTAAAGATATTAATAATTATAAAGATATCCAAATATAAATAATAAATTTACAAAAAATCAATATATGGTAAGTAGGGGGTCTACCCAAAACCGAAAAACATGGCAAGGGGTCTACGACACAAAAAAGTTTGGGAACCTCTGCTGTAGGTGATCAAACTGCAATTAACGATTACTTCGCTTTAGTTTCATTATTAGGCAATTATTCTATAAATGTATGATTGTTAATATAGGACAAAAGTTCAAATAAGTGTTAATTCCTGTTTTTGTTAAAGCCAATTTAAGCAAATGAGTGCGAAAATACACGAAAATAACTGTGAACGAACGACCGGCTGAATTTAATTGTATTTCGTGCGAACCGGCAATTTTTCAGCGTGATTCATCGCTACGAGAATCCAATGTTAATAATGGTGTTCGCACAGTAATAATAATGATGGCTTAACTTAAGTCAACAAAATGAAAATTTTTTGATTGCATCATCGCGTAAACGTTGAGAATATTAACTTAATCCTGCTGTACATAAATTTATAAGTATTTTTCCTTATGATTGATACTAGAAATAAAATCAATCGATTCGAATTCCACCTTGAATCGAAAGGGGAAAGAAAAAGTAAAAAAAGGTGAATGTTTTCTTCTTGAGCGCGACACGCGACGAGCAGCAAGAATGCCGTGCTCTGCGTTGTTCGGCCCTGACAGAATGCAAAATTCATTACTCGGAATAAATTTCACGTATGAATGAAGCGCATGTACACTCCAAAATCCCCTTGAATACGTTTCAGAAATTCCCGTCAGCCACCGTCGTTTTGTCTACTCTCTCGCAGCTTCACTTTCCTTTCTCTTCTTTTTTTTTCTTCCTTGTTCTTCGCTCTTTCCTCTCTATTTATTATGATTATTATATTTTTTTTAATATGTACGAGAGCTTGGATCGAAGGGGGCGAGTTTTTTTTTTTGTTTGCTGTAATAAGACAGAAGAGGATGGATGGTGCGAGTGAAAGATGCTTATCAGCAACCCCATGAGGGAGATAATGATTGAGCTCAGCGCAGACCACCTGCTCGAAGAAGAAGGAGGAGGAGGACGAAAGAAGGAATCTTCGAGAGACGTGCACGTGTGTCCAATCTTAAACCCATCCCGCGTGTCAGGACCAATTTTCGACAAAATAATACGATTAATGACTTCTATTATACGCAGTTTTCTATGCTTGATTTCCTTCTTTCTTCCCTTGCATGACGTAAAAACGACTCAGTAATCGTCTTATCCTTATCCTTAATACAACTATTATGAAAATATCCAAAATTATATAACATACATCACTTCATGCAACATCAATGAATTCATAAAACACTCATACAGATTGTAATTAAAGTCTAGATTAGAAATTAACGTTTAAATTAATTTATAATGAAGGAAGTGTTAATTGACTTATGCACTGTTATAGAAGATGAAACAACAGTTGTTGTTCATTTCTTATCTACGGAGAGAATAAGATTTAATCTAAGAGATTTAGCATACAATAGTAAAGAATGAAACGAATATGAAACAGAAAATTCAATATTGTAACTATTTTGATTTAAGTTGAAGCGTTAATGAATGCTTTCTATATTTCTATGAAATTAATAAATCAGGATAATTATTATAAATTGCTGGAATCATTAATTGCCGGGAAGGGTAATTAGTGCCAGGTCAGTCATTTTTCTTGGGCTTTTTTTGCTGCGGTGGCGGCGGCTCAAGAAAAATGAGCCTCAAACTTTAATGGAGCCTTAATTCGTTAATTAAAGCAAACGCGCGCGTCCAACGAGGATTGCTCTTTTACTCTTCCGCAACGCAACGCAACGTAACGCGACTCTCTTAATCATTAACATCGGTAAATCAAAAATACTTTTCAGACCATTATTAAAAAAAAAAAAATCTCCTCCTCCTTCTCTTCCAAACCAAAATAAAGCTTCCATTCTCGTTTTATGCTTCCTCCTTCTTCTTCGGTTCAGCAGTATCGTTCTTCCTTTTTCAGTAATAAACCGAGATAAATAATCTGCAACGAAACACGTTATTAACACGTCGACGAAACTGTGCCGTTATCAGCGCATCCCGAAACAGAAATTTATACGCTCCAATTCGGGCCGGAGCACAAAAGACCTGTAATCGTGCTTCATCCCCCCAACACACAGCGAGAACCTCAGACAAACCAGATTTTAACAATCTACAATCCTACTCCGACAGAATCTCTCTCTTTCCCTTTCCAAAAACTCCTCTATTTTTTTCTTCTGTTCTTTCGCAGCAGAAGAATTCGACAAATCCCGTCCGTGTGCTCCTCTTAATTGACAGCTGATTAGATACGGCTCCGGCCACCATTAATCTATTAAGCAGTGATTCGATGCTTCGCCTCTTCTCTCTCCACCAACCCTTCTTCGCTCAGACCATACGAAGTCCGAAAAAATGCTTAAAATGTCGGCCAGATTAAAATTAACGAGACAAAAACGGTGCCGCGTGTAAACAGACCCAATTAGCGTGAGTACCTTTCGAGAGCCGCAAAGGAAAAGGTAACTTAACGTATCCGAAGGAGGCGGACTTCGAAATGCCGATTGGACGAAGCGCACCGAAATCCGATCGAAATGTTTAATTACAGTCCTAAAATGCTTCTTCGTCCTTTTCTTTATTAAGAGATACAAACGGCAATTAACTCTCCTCGTCCTTGCGAATCGAAGAGACGATAAGGGTCCACACTCATAATTCACCCAAAATCGCGTTTTTTGTTTCATTCTTTCTTCGATTGTTTAGTCGTTGCGCCATCTCGGATCCGACAAATAAAACATGAAGAAACACACTCAGGAATATTCAATTAAACTGTAGT